GTATATAGAATGGCCGTCCGACGTCGATTTGACAAGTCGTTCATACAACTGCCAGTGTCCAATGTATATATCGCCACATCCATATGCATCCATTTGTCTGGGTTCCAACCGACGGCCACCCAGCACTTACATTTCTGGCCGGTTCTCGATCTCGTCCCCCGACCCCTTCGTCCATGACGCCATCGACGTCCCCGATGCACTCTTAAAGGCGGTCGATGGCCATCTCCCCTTCTCCGCGCTCTTTCTTCCTTTGTCCCACCATCTCTTCCTGACTTAGGCCCGCCCGCTCACTCTATAAGGCTCCAAGGTAGGTCATAGCATAAGGTCATATAAAGGTACGTGACAGACATTCCCCGTGAGTGCACATCACATACGCATAGGTGAGTTGGGCCTTGGTTAGACTTGCGGGGTGTAGACATAGGTAACGACTCAGCGCAAGCACCAGGGGACCTCAACTCAGTGATGTTCATTGAAGCAGATTCAGAGCCGCATGAGACGCTATGCACTATGCGCGCAGTAGGTCAGGGCGTGAGGCGGGTAGCTCGACGGGGCAGTGGGCGGACGTGGGGAGAGGGCGGCCAATGTATGCGAGCACGCGTGTCGTACCATAGAGCAACTTGCATCCGAATATATATCTTTGCATTCCAAATTAGGACCGCATCGAGCATGTGAATCTGTATCAATCTTTTGTGAGCTTTATACGTCTTTTTCTGTCAGTCGAGACAGACCATAATAGACCGTTCTCGACCATAAAAGCTGGAAAAAGAGGGAAAAAGATGAGTGATGGCAATTGGCTTTTTGTGGCGATATCTGCCTATCACCTACTATATCTACCGATATCTACCGATATCTGGCTGTATGCCAGCTAGAAAAAGCCGCAAAATGTAGGAAAAAGGGACAGTTCTCACTGGGTCTCAAGCTCCATTTGGCTGATCAAGCGCCGGGATACTTTGTCCAATTACCGTTACGTCAGATGCCGAGCCCCCCCCGGTCCCCATCCCTACCAATTGCGACCAGCCTTCGTCTCAGAGAGCTCAGACGTACTCAATACTGGATGTCACCCATGCACCCCAAAGCGAGCCCGTGGTAGCCACAGGTGAAAACACCAAGAAGCTTTCAGTCTGCCTGTTTTTTTCCTGGCAGTATGTTGTTGTGTCTAACTTACAATTGCGGTAACAGCCTGAGCTGCTTTCTGCTCATACTCACAGTCGATCCTCGAAACTCGCGGGCCGAACCAGGGTTAAGCGGGACGTGCCTGAGCACTGTCTCGCACCACGGAATCGATGAATGTGTGCGGCTAATATGTCGACAAATCGGTGGTCCGATTATTGTCTAAAAGTCGCTATCAACATAAAACCCGCTGTAAGTGTATGCTTTCATGAAAGTCAGTCCCACTCCTAGGCCTCACCTCGCACCATGATCATCTCCAGCAACATCTTGGGGACTCTATCATTCTGGCAGACGGCCGCTATCCTCGTTGCGGTCTGCCTCGCGCACCGCTACATCCAGGCGCGTCGCAAGGCCGCCCGCGAGACACCCTTGGCAGGTCCGCCCAGTCCAAGCTGGCTTTTCAGTGTCCGCAACCTCGTCTCCAACAACCCTGAGGCTCCAGCTATCTACGAGAGATGGAGCGAGGAGTTTGGATCAGTTTACCGCATTCCGGATCCGTTTGGATCCACCAGGGTTGTCCTCGCTGATCCTAAGGCTATCGCGCACTTCTATTCGGAGGAGACTTGGACGTATGTCCAAACTAAAATTGCCAAGGTCGCGATCGAGGGTCTGGTACGTTGTGTTCACATGACTAGACCACTGCTCTAAGTAGTAGGATCGATGTTCACGACTCTATCATGGCAAGATTAGGTCGCGGTTTGCTGTGAGCAGAAGGCGAGTCCCACAGGAGGTACGTACGCTCATCTATCGTACGGTCGAATGTTTTTGTCAAAATGCTTCAAGACAGCGCAAGGCCATCTCCCCCGTATTCAGCAATGTCGCGATTCGCAGGTTAACTTCGATCTTCTACGACTCGGTGTACAAGGTGCACGCCTTCGCATTGCGCTATTCAAGTATCTGAGCGCTCAATGTCATGCATGATCGCATGTAGCTCAAATCTAACTGGGACAGCCAGCTGGGTTCTGCTGACTCCGTCATGATAGACGTGCAGAAATGGTGCGTTTTTTTGCTGGTGACGGTGCGCATGCCAAGTCCAACTGATCAATACTGAATTCGTTCAGGATGAACCACGTCTCGCAAGTACTCACGCCACCATACGCAATATTACTCTGAAATCCTTTCTTCTAGTTTGGACAGCGTCGGGATCACTGGATTCTCGCATGATACCGGCTCTCTTGAATGCAGACCATCTGTAGTTGCTGAAGTGTTTGACGCGATGGGTCGCATCAAGCCTGGCGTAGTCACCGCGGCGGCGCTCTTCTTCGGCACCATCTTCCCCTTTCTTTGGTGTCTTCCTACCGAGACACGCAGGCTTCAACTGAAGCTCAACAAGGCTATGGAGGAGATCGCGGTTCCGCTACTCGAGAACACTTGTAAGGAGATGAAAGGATTGGGGGAGAAAGGCAAAGAAGAGAAGAGTATCATAGGCTTGTTAAGTGCGCTATCTCTGCATATCCATGTTTTTGGCTTGAATGCTCGGCTGAATGTAGTACTCCCGCAGTTAAGGCTGAGGATGCCAATTCGAGCCTACATGTTGAACTTGGACTTATCCGGTCCGGACTGCACGAGGCTATGCGTCTCCTAGCGCTTAGCTGTAGTCGCTTATGTAGTATGTTACCATATTTGGGACTCTCTGCTCGTGTACTATAGCTATGCTTCCGGACTCTTCTGGTACTGTCTAGGACAATCCGTACTACTCCAGAACGGTCTAGACAGGTCTATGCCTTACTCATCTCTTACTCATCCTATGGTGCAATACGTTGCAATTCTTTCACCATCGTATTATTCATCGCACTATGGTACATGTGACTAACCACTCTTCGATTAGTCATGGACACTTCTCTGTAGTATATAAGGACTTCAGATTGCGTCCTCCCTCTTCAGTCTTTCCTTACTGACTGAAGAGTGAGTACTTCCTTACCTCTACCTCTAACTTGTAGTTACTTACTTAACCTTTGTAGTCTTGCTTCGACTCTAGGT